GTATTACATTAATACTGAACTTAAGCTGAAACAGCTWTCTATTACATTCATACTGTCCAAGTCTACTTCTAGCACGTTAACTTTGTCACAGCGTTTCCATTTGACCCTAATGCTGTATACACCTGAACTGATACAAAGTTCAAATCTAAACATGCTTTGAAGGATTTGCTTTTTTCACCACAAGTACCAACTCTCGTTCCTGGTAATATAATATTAGGATTAAAACTACCAGCACAAACAGAAACACACCAACACAAAAAGTGACCTTTGCTCAGCGAGCTGCGACATGAAGGAGAACATTCTGTGGGGCTTAAATGAGCTGCTACAGGAAATCGGCTCTATTAGCAACACAGAGGCTGATTAGTTTGATCTTGGAGCGTTAAAGGCTCCCTGATGCTCAGTTGAGCATCAGGGAATAGAAAATAATTTCAGTGGATATGTCTAATATCTGAAACTGTATCCATAGTCAGCAAATATATTCTGAAACTCACTCACAATATTTTAACAACACTTAACTGACAATAAAAGAAGAACCAGTAAAACAGCCTTTAAAGAAGGAAAAGTCAAGTTTCTGCAGTAAAATAGTAAAAATAGGCCATCTTACTCAGACTAGGCTAAACCATCACAGTAAAGTGGTAAATCTMATCTTTACAGAAATGATTTAAACGGTTGTTATGTCTGTTGTTTTTGAGTTGAAAAATACAAGAATTTATGGACTTTACTCAGAAAAAAAAATTGCAACAAGGGGAGAAATTTCAGTTAAATACATTATGTAAAATCTGTCCAAATATCCCCCTGTTTATGATATGAACCTCCAATTAATGGATAATCTTTGGGGCTAATTTTTTTGTATTATACACACATTTGGTAAAATAGTTGCCTACCAATCTAGTAAAATATTTGGTGCTTGCCATATCAAATTAATGAGAGAGCCAAGATAGCTGCGATAGCTACAAGGAAGAATTTACCATAACTTGGCTATTTTTAGTCATATTGCTGGGTTGCAGATGATGTAGTATTGATGTCATGAAATGCAGATGGGGGGCAAGAAGTAAATGAAGCCATGTTTCCTTCTGTTGATTCAGTGTCAAAATGCTTAAACTCTGTGCCATGTACAGTTGTTGCAGCCATTCTAATCAGGAGAAATATCAAAGTTTTTCCATGTTCTGAAAGTAGTGTGTCACAAGGGAGTTAAATTTTAAAAACTTGCAGAAAAAAATAGGACAAAAGTAGATCAATGATCTACGGCTAAAAACAGGAGGTGTGGAAAACAAACTGCAACAGTTTGCAGTGACCACTTTCTAACAGGTCAGGATCATATAGTTTAAATCACATTGTCAGAAATTTTCCTGGATAGTTACTTGAATTTGGGTTTACAGAAGCTAAATAAATTATTTGCAAGTAGATCCAAGCACACAGAAATGACAGGAGTTAACTTGTTAGCGTTAGCGATAACATTGTTATCATAGGCAAACTATTTAAAATAGCACAACTCACCCAGGCAGAAACAAGTCAACAGACATTTAAAGTTTCTTTGGATCCTAAATGTTTGACCCAACCTGAAAMTAAATAATTGTAGCTTTAAGGCTTTTGAAGGCTTTCATCTGGCTCATCGTATAATACGAGGTGTGCAGCACCGGATAGTAGTTTATGTTGTTCGCCTCAACACCGGGTAAATCATCCAGATTATATGACAAGTCTTTTTTATTAAGATAATATGAATCATATCCTAAATGTACACTTATTTTGCGATATTTTGTCAGCGCCAACCCATTTAAGGCATTAGCGTACTCACTGTGATCCATTTTGCTGTGTTTTGAACCAGAGCTAATCACTTCCTGCCCCCCATCTGACATTCACGCATCATCCGGGTCATGTGACTACAACCCAGCAACTGAGGTGAAATTTGGTGTGGTGGTAGCCAAGAGAAAATCCTCAAAACTATGTTGAAAATAATCCCGCAACAAGAGGCAAGCCCTTTCAAAGTTTTTCTAGGAACTACTGTAGATTTTTTTAAGCTTTGTGTGTACATACGTGTTAAACTGCTCAGCRAAGATGAGGTTGGTGGACGTGCCGGTGATGGTGATGAGGCCTCCGATGGTTGCAGCGTACGTGATGCTGAGTGTCAGACATTTGCAGATCATGTGATCCTTCTTGGTGGGATACTGGGAGTCTCTCCTGGCCTTCACCCGCTTCACATTTGGGATCTCGATGGCAGCCTGAGAAAGAATGGATCCAACGCTGTAGCTGAACGGACAACAAGGTTTCTGACACGTTACCATCACGAGGAATGTTTTCTAACCTGAGGCAGATGTCCGTTGGTTTGTCGAACAAAAGTTTTGTTCAAAACTGGCTGAAGACCCAGACCATTCACCCCACCGCTCTGTCCCAAGGAAATGTAAGAAAGAAAATCAGATGATGTAGAAAAATACTAGAATTTAGGTTTTTTTGATTTAACTACATTAAAAAACTAAAGAAACAGTTGTCTTACCTCACAAAGCTCATGTTTATTACAGTCGTTCCTGGGAAAAGAGGAGAAAATAACTGGTTTATCAATTTTGGTTAAAATCAAAAGAGTTTTAATTGGCTTGAAAATAATTTTAAAATAGATATTAATGTACAAGCCGTTTCAGTGGAGATGAAAGAATTTCTTATTGAATAAATTATCTAATACTTGGTTTACATACATTTCCTTTAGGAGGACAATAAAACTGGAGATTGGTATTAGACCTGTCGCAACAACWAATTTTGCTGGACGATAAATTGTCTCAAATATTGTTGCGATAAATGATAATATCCGGTTTTACTAGGCCTGGAGACCATTTTAAAACAATATAATTATTCCACTAATTGAGCTTAAAATACAAAAACAATAGCTTTAACCACTGATTCTCATAACTACATTAAGGGCTGTAAAACACCAAATATTAACATAATCAAAACTTAAATTAAAAAAGAACACTAACAGTATTTTTTTTTACCATAGAAGTTACAAAAAATAAAATAACTATCAATTAGCATAGCAGTTTGTATTCCTGTAACACCAATCAGGGTCATGAGATGAGTTACTGTTATTTTGTGGATCAGAAGCTGAAAAACTAAGAGCTATTTCACCTTCAATACAAAATATAGWATAAAATTTGGTTTAAAGTAAGAGTTCGAGAATGAAGACAGAGGATTGTTAAAAAATAGAACCCGTGAGCGATAATAAAAATGCAGATTTTTTAMACAGAGTCTACAGAATAAAAAGAATATACACACATACTGTTCATTCTGATAGAGCAGCTCCAGCTGGTTCTTATCCAGGTTCTCCTCTTTGCTTGAAACAGCTGCAGGAAACAGTCATATAAATATTACCTGTGTATTAAATGTTACAACAATCTGTTGGTTAGACAGAGTAAAACCCACCGCTTTCGTCATCCGGGGTGTCTGCAGTTTCCGAGCCATCCTGGCAGTCAGCCAGACCGGTACAGATCAGCTGCTGGAGGACGGCCTCGGCTATGGGCATCACCATGGCGGTGGTGGACGTGTTGCTGAGCCACATGGACAGAAACACGGTGCAGCACATGAACCCCAGCACCAGCCTGGTGGAGGAGGAGTGAGGTTTGTGTCTGATACCAGAACAGCATCAGGTTTGATGTGAACGTGTGGAAAGTTATTACTGACATGCCGGGCTTCGCCCCTGCGATCATCACCATCCTCAGAGCGATGCGTTTATGCAGGTTCCATTTCTCTATGGAGGCTGCCAGGCAGATGACCCCCATCAGCAGCAGAGTTGTGTCTTTGCAGTACTCAGCTGCCACCTGAACACACACACACACACACACACACACACACACACACAAATTTAAAATAAAACTTTGAACTCAAGTCAATGCAGCTTATAAACATGCAAACTGTTCACAAACTGATGATGTTTTAAGATACCGAATACATTATATATA